CCATGCCTCCCTGTAGTACCCAAGGTCCTCGCCCTTCAGTTACCACCCCCCTGCAGATTAGAAAAGGCTTTTTTTCCTTTGAATCATTCCCAACGGTATAAGAACAGGCTTTGCACCCCTGTCCCCATTTTATAGCCCCCCTTTTGCGTTAATCCCTCATTCTCTGCAGTTGAGGACCCACTTCTCTTCTCAGGGGAATTTCTCCAGAGCTGTTTATACCTGAGCTGTCTATACTGGCAGGCTCTTAAAGAGTGTGGTCTGTAGCCCACTTGCCCAAACTTCTGCCCCACCCCTTCCCCAAATGCCTAGAAAGGTGTCCAGTGATTTGCACTCCTGCCAGCAGGTCTTTGCCCACATTCCTTGGTCTCCTTCAAAACTCTGTCCTTCTACACCCAATATCCTTCCTTGTCTTTTTTTGGTTTTCTTTTCTTCCTGGCTGCTTCTTCTGTAGCCTTCTTTCCCACAACCCTTTCTCTCAGCTCTAAATGTTGAGGTCTCTGTCCTCTGTCTCCTCCTCTCTCCTTACTTCCCTTTTAACCTTCCTCTCTACTTACACCCTCCCTCCAGTTTTCATTTTTATGATTTAAAAAAATCAAGCTGAGCTGGCAGTAGTGGCTCTCACCTGCAATCCTAGCTACTCAGGAGGCTGGTGGAGTGGCTCAAGTGGTAGAGCGCCTGCCTAGCAAGCTTGAAGCCCTAATTCAAACAAGTACCACCAAAAAGAAGAAGAAGAAGAAGAAAAAAAGACAATCCTAGCTACTCAGGAGACAGGAAGATCGCAGTTCAAAACCAGCTTGGGCAAATAGTTCTCCAAACTCTATCTCAAAAGTACCCAACACAAAAAAAAGACTGAAGTGGCTCAAGGGATAGAGCGTCTTCTTAGCTTGTGTGAGGTGAGGCCCTGAATTTAAGCCCTAGTACTGGAAAAAGAAAAAAAAAAAAAAAAAAAGCAAAATCAGTATTTTACAAACACCCAGACCCTAAATATTTTCACTCTGGCCCACTTGCTCTATTCAACCAACTCTTCTGATAATTTATGATGTCCTGGATGAGAAAAACAAACAAACAACCCCCCCTCTCCAAACCTCAGTGTGGTGAAGCAGAGCCCTACCTCCACTGCCCACACTAGATCCTCCCCAGGCCTTGCCATGTCCCGGTGGCCCACAATCCACTCACCTTTTAAGACAGGCAGCCAGGTGGGATCAACTCCTTTCTCCTCCTCTCCTCTCACAGCTGGTTCAAGAGAAAGGCCTTTCAGTTCTTTCCACACAATCTATCTCCATGCTCTGATTCCATTGGTACTGCCCTAGGCTACTGCCCTGGGCTCCCTGCCCCATACCAAGCCACCTTTTAAGTCTTGCTTGAATGCTGAAGTAGCTCCCTCCCTAGGCCTGGCTCGCCCTCTTCTGATGTATTTAACAAAACAAGATTAATATGGAATGTTTTGGTCAGATCATCTCCTTCCTCTAAAACCCTTGATGGCTCCCTATTGCTCTTAAATAAAATCGCAAAACTTGTCTGTCAGACTCTTCATGATTTGGCCACTGCTGACCTCCCTAGCCTTATCTTGACTACTGTCCCCTTTCCATTCTTCCTGACAGACACATCTGAGTCACTTCTTCTCTTGGAACACCCTAAGCTTTTTCCTGCCCCAGGGCCTTTGTTGTGCTATCTTCTTGGTCTGGAAGATTTTTCCAGTGCCCTTTACCCGGCTTGGTTGTTCTCCTTATTTTTGAGGTTTTAATTTATTTTTTCCAGATTTCAATTTAAATACATCTTTCTCAAATGCCTTTCTACTATATGTAGATGATCCCTCCCCTCCTGTAATTCATCATAGTACCTGGCTTACTTTCTTCATTGTATGTATAAGAGTCCATAACCCTTTGTTACAGTTGCCTTGATTTTGGCGTCTCAAGGGCTAGAACCTTGTCTAAATGGCCCATCGCTCTGTCTAGCATAGCTAGCCAAGTGCCTGGCCCATAGTCAGTGCTCAGAAAACCTTTAGCCAGGTGGGACTGGGCAGGGCAGAAAAAGATGGCTGTTACAGTTAGCACAGGAGCTCCCTTTAACCTGCAAGTGACCCTGAGTATTTGAATTTATTTTCTTTCCACAAAAGCAGTTGTGCAAATTTCTGCAAAAATCTGAGGAGGCCAGTGGGATGTGAAAAAGGGAAGTGGAGAAGGAAGGGGTGACTTGAGGGTGAGTCTGTCCACCCAGCGGGAGATTGGGGAGCCCATGCATGTATAAGTCTGGTGGGTCACTGAGGGTCAGGAATAAATGGTTTCTTTTGCTTTCTTGGGTGGAAGTCCAGTCTGGGTTAACACAGTGTGTGTGTGTGTGTGTGTGTGTGTGTTTCAGCCCGCTCCCTTTACTCCCTTACTAGAGGGTAAAGAGTTGAAGAAGAAGAAGTAGCCTGGGCTCGGCAAGGGTGTGTGTGTGTGTCGCAGTGGACCCTCATTTTTCTACCCACAGCTCTCCTGTTTGCACAGAGGAGCAGTCAAGGGCTGAATCATAGGGCTGGTTCTCTCAGAATGGAGAGCTGATAACCCTCGGATCTGGGAGGAGGAGGAGCTGGGCCCTCTCAGGGGAACTAGGGATGGATTAAGGTAGCACCATGGGTTGAGTGCTGGCACTAGGAGCTGGTGGTCCAGATGTGGAATTAGGATAGCATATGTATGATAGGCCGTGAGCAGAGGGCATCCTGGGTGGGAGGAATCTGGCAGAGGCTAAGAGGCTGGGGCATAGGCCCTGGTATACTCACTGGGTGCCAGGCACTGTTCTAAGGACTTTGCAAGTATTAAGTATTAACTCCTTTAATACTCTTAACAGCTTATATGGTCAGTCTTACTCCCATTTTACAGAATGGGAAGACTGAGGCCCAGTTATACAGCTAATAGTGGTGAGTGAGCTTGGAACCCAAATCATCTGGTGCCAGGATCCAGGCTGGAATCCAGTCTGTTCTGCCACTTCTCTCATGCCTGTCAGATACTGTGCCAGCTGAGGGCTTCAGAACAAATAAGGGGCTTTTTCTGCTTCCCAGAACTGCCTGGCCTGGGGACTGGGGAGGTAGAAGAAAGGTCATATCCTCTAAGGTAGAGGGGTCCTTGCTTGCAGTGGGCAGCCGAGTTTCTCTGTTTTATTCCCTGCTTTTTCTTTTAGGAGGGGCTCTGGACTCAGGCCAAGTTGTGGGATATCCTTTGCACTCTGATTTTACGGTGCTGGGGAGGTCTATGCTTCTAGTACAAAAACCCATTAGAATGTCACCAGAGCAGGGCAGGCAGGTAGGGGCTCTGCAGACAAGCTGACTTGTTTTTGATTTGGTCTAGAACTCTGTGTGGTGTTTTCAGGCTTGCCCTTGGGAAACCTGGCTGAGGTCTGTCTGAATTGGGCTGGGTCAAATGTGGGAACAGAGCTGGGGGAGTAGAGGAGTGGGAACCAGAAATGGCTTAATCCACTTCACCATTAGCCCTTCCCCACTTCTTTTTGTCTGTCTGCAAAAGGGGATGAGAGAGACTTCCTTCTTTGCTCCTACAGGCTGTGGAGGCCAGGGAGCTTCTTGAAGTTATGTGCGTGAGTACAAACCAGCGCACAGGGGTAGGGACTTCCCAAGGGAGAGGGATGCTAGTCCTAGGATCCCAGCCAGGAAGGAGGGAGCAGGGAGGAGGGTGTGGCAGCTCTGCCCTGTGAGCCTTTCCTTGGGTGTGAAGATACCTCTGGGCTGATGACCTGGTCTTCCAGGGACCTGACTGGCTAGCTGAGGAAGGACTTGCTGACCACACAGGGATGGAGTCTGTTTACTTCAGATTCTGAGCCCCAGGTGTTAGTGTATCTGCTTATCTCTCTGGACAGATCCTGCCAGCCCCCCAGCATTCTTTTTGTATTTGGGGAAACTGAGGCACGGAGCAAGCTTTTGGAATCTCACCAAGTCCCACAGTTGTCAGGAGGCCTGTTGATGGCATCTAAGTCCTTGTCTTCCCAGTTGAAGTGAAAGCTGTGGCAGAGTCTGAGGTGGATAGGCTAGAGCTGAGAGTGGACAGCTGGACACTGGGCCTTGTTAGCTGTCATCACCACCTGGCATCTCCTGTGTTCCAGCCTGATTCTCAGGGCAAAAGGAACACAGGACATGGGTCCCACTCTCCAGGAAATAAGAGTGAGCCATACCAGATGTGATATAATAAGGTGCAGTTCAGACCAGATTCTGGGAGGAGGTAGAGCTTTGAGAGAGTCCTGAAGATGGACAAAGATGGGGACCCCAGACCTGGAGAAGTGGGTTGAAGCCAGGTAGGGAAAAGCCTTGACCACCAACCAAGGTGTTGAATCTGATCATGTATTAGGTAGGCCCTGGGGAGCCACTGAAGGTGATAGGCTGAGGGTGCCATGACTTGATAGGAGATGTGGTCCATAAGTGATTCTCAAGCTTGACCATACACATCACCTGGGCAGCTTGTTGAAAGGCAAGTCAGTCCTACCTGATTTTTAAGCTCCCGGGCAGTGTAGTGCTGCTGGTTCATGGGCCATGCTTTGGGTAGTGAGGATTTAGACTGGAGTTAGAGGGACAGGCACAGTTCAGGTGGATGTAGATCAGGTCAAGGGAACCACTTGGCCCCCTGTGGACTGTGTTGGGGGAGGTGTAGGGAGATGCCTTTGTGGGGGATGGGGAGCAGCACAGAGGACACAGGATTCAGGGGCCCACCTTGCTGGGATGTGAGGCTGGGTGAGTGGTCTCTGGGGCCTTGAGTCTCAGGGCAGGCATATAAGCCTGATTTCCATGGCCCCTGACTGTAAGAGCTCCTAAGTCCACAAGGGGGTGTCTGGAGTGACTGTGTCCCAGGCTTGATGACAACAGGCAGGGCACCTTATCTCTATTTGCAGCTGAGCCTGGTGCTGCGGGCAGCCAATCTGGGGTGAGCACCCTTCCTCCAGCCAGGGCGGGGCGAGAGATTGGGCAAACAGCTGGCTCCAGCTCCAGCTCCAGCTGTGACGTCTCTGACAGGCTCTCAGTGACCCAGCTGTGCACTGTTCCTCTCTCTGGCCTGTGGGAGTCCCTGCTGCTGTTGCTGATGGTTACATAGGCTGTGTCTGGGTCTTTTCCCCCTCTAGCTACCTCCCCAGTGTACCTGGGAACCAGGGGACCTGGATGCTTCTCTCTGCTCTGCCCCCAGGCAAGTGTCTGCTCCCCTTTGCAGCCTCAGTTTCCTTGTATGTAAACTGAGAGATTCTGTCCCTTTATGGAGGGACTTTACAGGGTTTGTTGGGTGGGGCAGTGCATATTTTCAGAGTGCCAGCTTACTGGATTTTAGTTTTGGTTTAATATTAATACTTGCATGCTAATGATGGAGTGAGCAATTTGCATGGATGAGCTGACCGGCTTGCTTTGGGCTCTCCCACACTCCTTACTCCCAGGATCTTCATGGCTCAGGTTGGGCATGTGATGTCACTGGTTAGTTGAGGTTCCACCAGATGCTGGCAGGGGGATGGGGAGAGCAAATGTTCTGCTACTCAGTCAGAAGTACTGGTAGGCAGGGGTTGACTGGCTCTCAGGCTGAGCCCCATAGATATCACACCCACCTCCTCAGAAGAGGGCCAGGTAAACCTACTTGCCTCACTTTGATCTCTGCCCTTGTGCCATGCTGTTTTCAGTGGAGTAGGAGAGGGCAGTACTTTCAAAGACTGTTCTGAGCAACTGCAATGGTTTGGTGAACAAATAAGAGTAGAAACTGGCAATCCACTCTACATTCCGTGGAAGATTCACAATGCATTTTTGAGAATTAAAGGTTCTGCCATGTCCTGTAGAAAAGAAACCATTTCATGTTTCCCAAACTGATTTGATCATGAAACTCTTTTCTGAAGACTTCCTAATAATATCCCACTGAACAGAAAAATAGCCATCGGGACCAGCTGATGTTGAAGGATGCTGCTCCTTGAGAGACCATGGGTGATGGGTGGGCCCGGAAGTGCCAGGGAAGGATGGAGGGATAGCTTTTGGGAGAGGTGGACTTGGTGGGACAGGGATATTTGAACAGTCAGTGGAAGACACGGGCACTGTAGAGGGAAGGACGGGCTGGACAGGACCAGACCCAGATTCAGACCTGGGCTCTTGTGGGCCAGTGCTCTGCTTCACTGTTTGAGTGACAGAGAGACTGGGAAGGACTCATCTAATGCCCAGGAACTGATGGTAGTGGGCTTGGGAACCAATCTTCTGCATTCTGGGAGGGCCTCCTGCCCTACCCCCACCTCCTCACTGTCCAGTTTCTCCCCCAGCCTTTTATCTCAGCGATTAACAGAAAAGGCTTGTTATCCCTGGGCAGAGAGCTAAGTCTCCCCATACCTCAGTTTCCATTTGAACCATGGGGATAATATTAGCTCCCTTGTAGACAATAACAGCAGCTGGCTGCTCTTGCTAATATGATTAGTGGATGGAGGTGGGACCCTGGGAAGGGACTGGTGTGGGCATGGGAGATATACAAGCCAGCAGAGAGCAGCCTAAGGCTCTGGGGTCTTAGGATGGCCAGCAGGGTATGAGAATGGGCAGGAATGAAAAGTCACAGGCTTGGATCTGGGTGCCAGAGAATCTTTTTGCGGACATGCTTGTAATTCCAGCACTAGAGAGGCTATGAAAGTTTGAGGACAGCCTAGGACTACATAGAAAAGCCTGAATTGAGAGAGAGAGAGAGAGGGAGAGAGAGAGAGAGAAAGTGACATGACTTGCATTCATCCCTTAGGCCCTGGGAGCCATTGAAGGTTTAAGATGTGATTTAGTGAGATACATGGCAGGTGTTCAGTGATGGTGGTGGCTGTGCCCCTTCACAGTTCAAAGTGTGCAGAATGTCAGGTTGCTTGTATGACCCTTAGCCTCAGATTCTCTGTCATTTCTCCCAAATGCTAGCAATCTCACCCAAAGAGGCATGGATGTGCAGGAGGTGGGAGGGGGAATTCAAGGATCTCAGCCTACCTCTTCTTCCCTGAGGCTGATGGGACGGTCAGTGAGACTCCTCTGTCTTGCCCTCCACATCTGGATTCCTTGGGCAGCTGGCTGGTCCTGTGAAGATTCTTTGTTCAAAGCTGAGGTGGGGATGGGGTGTGGCATCCTAAATAGTGTGGAGGAGGAGCTGGGATGGTGCAATGTCAGGTGCTGACAGGCTGGTGTGGGTGACCAACGCCTGCCCTCAGGGAGGCCCTGGGAGAGGCAGGGAGGCCTGGGAGAAGATGCTCATTGGGGTTTCCCACCCAGCCCTGCCATGCCCTGATCCTGTGTCCTCTTTTGCCCCTTGTTCTTTCTTTCTCAAATAGGCTCTAAGTCTGGGGTTGGAGGGTGGAGGATGAAGAAAAGCATCTGGGTTGAGGCAGAATTGGGTGGCCTGGCTGGGGCAGGGCAAGGGGGGGTGTTATGTACCCTGTTCCCCCCTCACCCCTGCTCCTGTCCAGATCCCCTTCTCCTCTATCTGCTTCTTAGGGGAGGTATTAAGACCAGTGTGATTTAAGACCAGGTGAAGAAGGTGAGTTGAAATCCATTAGAAAACAGAAGAGAGAACCTAGCTACCCTCTGCCAGCTGTGTGTCAGGGACTGGCAGATGCACAGTACCTGGCCTCTCCACACAGCCTCAGAGGCCTGGGCTACCATCTCATTTCACAGACAGGGACACTGGCAGCACTAGCAAGTGGAAGGATGAATGTCAAACCCAAGTTCTGGGACATCTGGCCTGATGTCCCTCTGGTCACCCAACACTTCTCTCAGAGCCTGTCCCTAAACCTTCAACTGTGCTCTACCCCCAACTACAGGCTGATCCTGGGACTGGGGTGGTACTTCTTATAGGCAAGCAACAGCCAAATTTTGGGATGACTCCAGCAAGAGATGCCCAGGACCACCAATGGGTAAACACTCATAGGGAAGAGTTTCAAACCATGCTTTTTTATTTTTATTTTTATTTTTTTTATTATTCACATGTGCATACAAGGCTTGGTTCATTTCTCCCCCCTGTCCCCACCCCCTCCCTTACCACCCACTCCGCCCCCTCCCTCTCCCCCCCACCCCCTCAATACCCAGCAGAAACTATTTTGCCCTTATTTCTAATTTTGTTGTAGAGAGACAAACCATGCTTTCATGGGTAAACACACAGGATTCCTTTACGCTCTTCAATTTTATAAAATTAATTAAAAAAAATCATACACAATACAAAACTTTGTGAGTTATTCTGGAAAGGTTCAGAGTTTAAAAAGTCACTAAAGAAAGACAACAAATGTGACTCCCGGCTTTATAGAAGAGTGAGGCCTGAGGCTTAGTATCTTACTGAGTAACTTTTGGAGTGCATTATGTCACATGGCAGGTTGTGGAACCTCTTTGAACCTCAGCTTCCTCCTCTGTAGCACTGGGGTATTGACATGAGGGTGAATCAGAATATTCTACAGGGAAGTGCTTAGAATTGTACTCTGTGCCTCAGTGAAAACCAGTGATAACAATGATGGCAGAATGTTAAGAACAGATCTTTTTGATTTTAAAAGCTGGTGAGTTTTCGTCTCTCTTTGAACTTAACAAAAAAACTTGAAGAATATGCTTATTGTCCAAACTTAGTGTCTTTAGTTCCCCGGGTGTTTTATGGATTAAATCACAGGCCCAGGGCCCAGGCGTGCCCTTTGCTGTGAGCACAGTTGGCTTGCAGACCTTCTGGCTCTTGCGTGGTTGGGGGCTGGCTTGGATGTTATTGTGAGTAGTGGCTGGTCCTGTGTGCTTGTTAGGTGAGCACAGTCAAAGCATCCTGTAGTCACCAGGAGAGAACAATCTCAGGTCAGGGAGAGAGGAGGTGACTGTTTAGAGGGAATCATGTTAGTTGCTCTTTGAATTTCTATTTGCACTGGCAAAAGCAGTGATACCACATCCCTGACCCTATTTATGGAGGTGGAAATTGAGGGCGAAGGGTTGTGTCCTGGCACAGTGTGTGCCTGGCAGGCCTAAGCCAGCCTGAGGGGACAGGGAGATGAAGGTGGCCTGCACCCATCCTGGTAAGCATCCAGGCCAGGAGGCAGGTGGCCTCCTGGTGGCAGTCCCAGGTTTTGGCAGTACAGCCAGGGTGAGCTGCCAGACTTTATGACTCCTGCCAGCCCTGAGTGCTTGGCACAATGTGTGTGGTGTCAGTAGTGGGATGGGAAGGACAAGGGAAGTCCCCGGGCCTCCCAGAGTTGCAGTCTGAGAACTGAGCAAGGGCTGAGCAGAATGGAGCCCTGCTGTGTCCACACCTTCTCTGGGTGTCCTCCATTCCCTCTCTGCAGTCCTCTGAGGTGGTTCCTCGTCTGTACAATGGGTGGCAGGGTGCTTGTGAGTATAGAATGATGCAAAGAATGGGAAGCCTGGCACAGGACATGCAAAATAAATAGTGGTTTGCTCTGGGGTTCATCTGGCTGCTGGATTTTGGGGAAGGTTTTCCTTCTTTCATTTTGTGATCATGCACACTGCCTCAGCTCTGTTACACATTGTGTTGTGTGGGGGGACGGGGACCATAGAGAGGTAGCTTTGCTGGAAAAAGGTTTATGGTGGAAGAGACCCGGTCCGCCCCTCCAAACACCCCTGGATCTAGCAAATCTTAGATAGTTCTGCCATTGCAGCTGCTGCAGGGTCTCTTTTGCAGGCAGGCTCAGCAGAGTGGGTGCCCATGGCTCAGGAGAGAGATGGGCTTACAGGAGACTCCCACGCACACCCAGGGGCTGGAGTCAGACATAGTTGGGCTTTGTGCAGTCATGGGGGCTGGCCAGGGGGAACTGCACTGGCTGAGCTGCTCTCACAGCCTCACTTCTTGTAAGTGGTTTTGAAAGAGTTGTGGAAAGTGCTGACTGGGCTGTCCTCCCTCACTCTAGCATTGCAGGCTGCAGCGTCTGGCAGGGAGAGGGGAGAAGCTCTGTGGGGAAGCCGCCCCCGTCATCTGCCAGCTCACACATCCCAGGCGTCCACTGCTGCTGTGCACCAAGGGTGGATCTCTGAGTGTGCAGGTGGCACTGGGGACGCGGACTCATATCAGGGGTGGGTGATGCCTGGTGCAGTGTGACAGCATCTGGGGACATGTGGGGCCCTGTGGTGGGCAGTGGCTTGTAGAAACTTGTCCAACTCTGTTGTGGCCCCTAGAGCAGCAAAGGGCTCAGGAATCAGAACACGGACACACCTTCCCATCTGTGG